CAATCCATCCATCCGTCACACGCTGAGCCAAGCAGAAAGCGGGTGTCCCTGGGCAACAGGAGCCCTGGCACGGGGCCGGGCTCCCAGGCGGCCGCTCCAGCCCTGGAGGGGTCGTGCAGACGGGGCACACGCAAAACCCCCCGGTGCAGCAGGGCCCACCGAGGCCAGGATGCCCGTAGCAAAGTCCCCCTCCAGCACAGCCGGGGACCCCATGTCCCCCCAACCACAGTACTTGGCACCCTCGTGGGGACCCACCCACAGAGCCTGGCTCTGGTGGGGAAGGTCCGGTGGCCCCCGATGGCAGCGCGCCCCCTCCTCAACAAAATCACTGATGCTGGAGTCTCCGTCTGCAACTCACTCAGCACCAGGATATTGTTGGGCAGGAGGAGCAGCGGTGGGGCGGGAACGCCGGCGTCCTGGGGACCCCACGCAACCAGACCCTCCGATTCCTCCCCAGCCCCCCCGGGGCGCCAGGCCAGCCTACCTGTGGATGTAGTTGTTCCTGTGCAGGTGCAGGACGCCGCAGGCCACCTCGCACGCCATCCTCTGCAGGGTCAGCGGGTCCGGGGTCATGGCCTCGGCCCCCCGGCAGCTCCGCAGGTACCCCTTCAGGTCACCCTGCAGGGCAGTGCTACTGTCACCCTCCATGGCGCTCGGCTCGCTGGGGGGCTCAGTCGTGCCCAGCAGGGCAAAGCACTGCCATGCACCCTGCCCTGCCTGCAGCCCTGCCTGCAGCCCTGCAATCCCCTCCGCAGTACCGCGCGGCCAGAGCTTGCATCCCAGCCCCATGGCAGCACCTCGGGGAGTGGGACAGGATGCGGGGGGGGGACGCACAGGACTCACCAGCGGGCAGAACTCCATCACCAGCAGGTACGGGGTGACCTCAGCGCACTGGGCCAGGCACTGCAGCAGGTTGGTGTGCTGGAGGGCCCTGTGCGGGGCAGAGCAACGGGGGCATGTCGGCACCATGCCGGCCGGGACGGGGGGATGGCGGCAGCCCCCAGGGAACCATCTCCCTGCCGCCTCTGCTGCTGCGCTGGGGACCAACGCGGGGGCTGCTGGGAGCGCCGGGAGCGGGTACCAGCACGTCCCAGCGCCCCGGGACGCGCCACAAAGGGACATTTGTTCAGCTCTGCTGGGGCAGGGAGCAGCTCCACGCGCTCCCCCCCCACCCTCGGCCCCACTCTGCCCATGACCTCACCGCAGTCCACTGCCCCTGCGCCGCGGCCAGCGGCTCCCAGCACAGCCCTTGCCCCGCTGCAATGAGTCCCAGGCAGACAGGCGATGGGACCAGGACAGCCGTGCTGCCCAGAAAGCTCGGCCGGGCACCTCCACAGGGCAACCATGGCTCTGCTCAGTAGCCAAACGTGGCACGGAGGGGACGAAGCACCATCCGACAGCACCCCTGCTCCCGGCTGTGCCCAGTGCAGCAGCGGCACCACGGAGTGACCCCAGATGTACCTGTAGGGCTGCGCTTCCTCCAGGAACTGCATCTGGTCCTGCACGCTGGCGCTCGCCTTCAGCTCCTTCACCACCACCTGGGTGCTGCTGATGCCCGAGTTCACCTCCCCCAGGAACACCTGGGGCGAGAGACAGGCTCGTCCCCTCCGTCCTCACCACGCACCCCGTCCTCACCCCAAGCCCCGTCTTGCACAGCCCGGACCCCGCAGCCAGCATCCCACCGGGGTGTCCCCGGGGGACCCTGCCCCTGCTGCTCACCTTGCCGAACCAGCCGTGCCCGATCTCCTTCAGGTAGAGCAGGCTCTGCCGCCCCAGGTCTGCCGACTTGAGGAGCTGCACTGTAACAGAGCACATCCAGCTGCCCACGCGCCCTCCTGCCCGCCTGCCCAGCCTGCCCGCGTTACCCACCGGTCCTGGCCGAGCCCTGGCGTCCCTACCGTGTCACCCGGTGCCAGGCCCTGCACCGCCCCGGGGTGCTCTGGAGCAGCCCCCACAGCAGCCATCCCCAGGCACCCTGCCGCCAGGGCATCCTCCTGTCCAGGCATCCTCCCACAGGCCAGGGGACGTGGGGTACTGGTGTCCCCAAATCCGGTGGCAGTGGTGAGCTGGCTCCCTGCCCCTTCTCCTCCTCAGGGACCAGGGAGAGCAAAGCTGAGCCCAGCGGGAGCTCTGGCATTTAGCCCCTTCCTGCCCCCCCCC